AAGGTTCTACCGTCATATATACCCCTAGCGCTTTCTAACCCATTTGTGACAATGACATCCACCGGTGGCTGCCAAAGATCTCACTCGGGCAATGGTATCCACCATCGAAATGGAATTTGGAAAGTTTTCTTTCCATGAAAAGAATCTTCATACCCTCATTCATCTACGCCAGCCCTGGGCAGAGGAAATCTCCTCCACTCAAATTTTATTGAAGAAAAATCTCCTGACTCTACTGCTATTGCGCAATCTCGCGCGGTCGCGAATGGGTTGAAGAAAAAAATCTGAACGCGATAACTAAAACGGTTCGCTTCGCTTTGTTCTCAGACGAACCTCACAATTACGTCAATACTCGTACCATTTTTATAGTATATTTGGCTCGGAAACCATGTGAACGCTTCCAGCTCCACCGAAGAATTTCCTGCCTCCTCCATGGCTACCGTACGAGCAGGGGAAGGGGCCGGGTTGGGTGATATGTAACTGATCACACGGCAAGCGCTCCATTTTCACTCACTGCATTGAGTTTCCGTTCGCTAGCAAATCGCTGGACCGCTATTAGCAATCCGTTGTCTTATCGAAGTCTGACAAAGGCCTGACGGTATCGTTAGCCTCTTCCCTCTCTGTGCTCTATCTAAAATTTTCATGCACATGATAAGTTTCAGAGCTTGGATACGAATGCAAGGTACTCGTCACACTTTTCTCCGTATTAGATTGTGTGCTATGCGCTATGCACATGCTATAAGATCGAAGAGCTCTTACATGTTCGTAAGAGTGAACGTTAAATAAGCAGTAGGTCTCTTTAGATTGCAAAGAAGAGCACTGACACGACGTGAGCTCTGAAAGCTCGCACGCGATTTGAAGGGTTCTAAACCCTGACAATTACTTGGGTCGACCTATACTAGACGCTCCTTATACATCGGGCCAAGGAGGGTAATCCGAGTTTCTCTCGTCCGGACCACCGGACCGCATCTCAGTGGACTTTCTGAAGTCGGCGTCCTACACTGTCATCAAGCAGCTCACCAAGCGCTATAATAAGTACCTGGACGAGCAGAAGATCCCGGACCAGTGGAAGACGTCAAATACGGTGCTTTTGTTCAAGAAAGGCGACCGATCAATGAAGAACTATCGTCCATCGCTCCCTCTCACTTGTTAACAAGCGATATCACAGAAGATTAATTCTAAACAACTGGAAACAAACTGACGCACTACCAAACATCACACCATCCGCTTGTTTCAACGAGAGCTACGCGTGCCGATTGAAAAAGGAGTCAGGCAAGGTGACACGATCTCTCCCAAGCTATTCACCACCGCCCTCAACCACGCGATGCTACAGCTGGACTGGGATGATAGAGGCATCGACATCGACGGCAAGAAGTTGTCTAACTTACGCTTCGCAGACGACATCGTCCTCATCAGTCAAGACCAAAAGGAACTACAGCAGATGGTGGAGGAGTTGGACGATGTCGGCAGAGCCATTGGCCTCACGATAAACCGGAACAAGACAATGGTCATGCGGAACGAATGGGCAGATGCGTCACCTATCATACTCGGAGGCGCCGCACTCCCGGACACCGACTGCTATGTGTATCTCGGTCGACTCATCTCCGTGGACAACTTGCGCGCAGAGATC